CCTTTTTAAATTTCCATTGAAATACAATTTAGAGCCAAATAAAAATGTTTATTTTGAATTTAAAATAAAATATTAAGGAGTTTCTTGTGTCAGGTGTGATGTTAGATTTTAAAAAAAAAAAAGAATGAAAGATACTCTCATATCCCTGCTTCCATCTCAAAACTGTATTCCACAAAGACAACTATATCTGTAGTCAAAATATGTTCTTCCTCCATTCTTTCCCTCATTCATTGAGCAGTTTTCAAAATGTTCTATATTCCTGATATCATTGCATGCTCTGACTGTGGCTTATCATTAAATATCACAGTGATGATTCTGTGGGTGCCTTAGAAAAAGGGGAAATCAGCAAAGAAATAAGAGACAGCTGCTCATTGGCCTGAGCTTAGGGAATATGCAGTCTGAGGGAGAGGAGACATTGTCAACACATGAACAACTTGATCTGAAGTAGGGAATGAGATGTGCAGAAAAGAGGTGAGGAGATCCAGCCAGTTGAAGGTTAGCTGCAGCTAGGCTTCTGAATAGAGCCCTACCTGATAGAGGTACAGAGGATCATAGTGGGCAGAAACTTGGGGAGATCAGGGAAGTCCAGAAAAGAAAACTGAAGCAGGAACAAGAGACATTTCTAAAGTACAATTAGAAGGCTAAACTGTTTAAGGGGTTAGAGGTACTCTAATTAGGAGGAAGATGGGACAGTCAATTGAGGATTCCCAACAGAGTCCCCCTTAGGAACTTTTCTACTGAAATCAGACGCCAGTCCTCAGAAGCAATGCCCTAGATCTCCCTGGATGAAGTAACCTAAGCAATGATTAACTTAGTAAATAATTCACAAGTTTGAGCTCTAATGCTTATAATGCTGGCCTAACAGACTTCATAACTCTAAAAGAACTAGAGTCAAAGTATCCTGAAATACACAGAGGCTGAATCAAAAGTCAGGAGAGCCACAGCCTGGGGAAGAAGTTAGACTGGACCTGTGAAGGTAGCCCCTGAATGCTGTTCTGGGCTATTTCAGGGGTTCCTCCCTGCTCAGGTCAGAAGTCACTGAGTTTCATGGTCCCTTTCTGACCCAGAAACTGCATTGGGAAACAATTTGCTATGAATGAGCTGAAGGTGGTTGTGGCCCTGACCCTACTCTGCTTTGAGCTGCTGGCAGATTGCACCAGGGTCCCAGTTCCCTTTCGACAACTTGTGTTGAAAGCCAAGAATGGGGTCTACCTGCAGCTCAAGAAGATCCACTGATTCTGGTAGGGACAAGGACAGACTCGATGAGCATGCTGCCTGAAATCCCCTCTTCATGTCATCTGTTCCTGTCACCATCTGGTTTTCTATCTGCCCATCTTTCCTCGCAGCTTTGCTCCCCTGCCCCCTGCCCCCCCCCCCCCGCTTCTCTAGATTCCCTATTTGTCTTCTGTCTCTTACTACCTGCATCTGATCCCTAGTCTTCTCTGTCCTCCAGTCTCCTCTCCTGCCCTTTATCTTTCTGTTGTCTTATTTTCCCTAAATGATTCTTTGTTACACCAATAACCAACTGTCACAACTTTGGTGGTCCAATGTCATTATCTTACAGTTCTGGATCTCAGAAGTCTGATATGGGTGTCACTTGCAGAAAACCAAGTTGTTGATGAAGCCAACCTTCTGGATAGTTCTCTGGGAAATTGTCTTCTTCCACTTTTCAGTATAAATCATCATTCCTTGGCACAGGACTGTTCTCTGAACCCTTCTCTTCTAGTTTCTTTCCTATTTGAAAAGACTCTTGTGACATCATCGTGCCCACTAAAAAAATCCAAGGTAATTTTCCCAGCATAATATGTCTTTCTCAATGCAATATACTAACCTCTTTGGAATCATGAGGTAACCTACATGGGTTCCAAACTTAGGGCTTCAACACCATTGTGAAGCCATTGTGAGGCCTGGCATAGTATTTACATGACTGTCAACTAGTTGGTTTGTCTACATTTCTCCTGCATAGTCTCTCTCTACCTGACTGTCCTCTACACAAGTTTCTCCATCTTTCCTCTGTTGGACAATAAAGTTCCCAGTGTCACACACAGTGTTTGTCGTGATTCCACATTGCTTGAAATTGCTCCTAGATCAGGATCCATGATGCCATGGACAGATTTCCCTGGTATGCCATGGCCTGCTTCTTAGAATGGCTTCTCTTGAATCCACTGGTTGCAACCAGGACTTCCAACCTAGTTCCCAACCTTCAGGTTGCAGGGCTAGTGCAGAGTGATTCTGAGGAAAAGCAGGGGACGCCAGACTGGATACTTAATACCTGACCAAGGGGAGAACTGGGCATGAACAAGACCCCTAATTGTCATGCACAGAATGTTCAAGTAGTCCAGAAAGTCTCATTTGGCCATGCTGAGAGAACTTTTCCTTTGAAAGTAAAAGCACTGAACAGAATTCTGTGTACCCAGGCAAGGACACACACTCTAACCACAGGATACCAAATGGGATAAAATGTGTAACCAGAAAACAATTCTACTGCCTGGAAGCAATGAGCAAGACTGAGTTCACAGTCCTGAGCATTCCCCTGCATGATGCATGAAAAGTGCCATTCATAGGATGAACGAACATAAAATTATTCCAAACAGTGGAATAATAGTACACAGCAATAAACAAAATCAGTGACAAATGCATTAAAAATATAAATTTTTTTATTAAATAGGAGAAGCCATGGTTCTACATGTGTGGCCCAAGGATAAGGAAAAATAATCTATATGAGTAAAGATCAGAAAAATCAGGGGAGCATAAATGTCTTGGAATTATGCAAAGTTTCAGTATCTTATTTATATTTTAAATTACATAAATGGATATTAAAGTTGTTGAACTTATGCAAAAAAAATGCCATTCATGCCAGCACTCTCTACACACCCACAGCACATTCCACCCACACGTGGGCATTGCATGCTCAAGAACAGGGGACCCTCTGGGTGTATGTGAAAAGTCATAAAGGTGAATCTGTGATCATCTGTGATGGCCACCAGTTCCAGTGTCCACTCACCTCACCCAGGAGGTCCCAATTTACACACATAAACAAGTTCATACTCTAGTGTACAAGAGATCACACCCAAACATCTGAGGCAGAGATCTTGGCTTTATCCCCACTGATACACATGCTCCAAAAGAACTGGTAGTAATGATGGAGTTTTGGACAAAAGACATCAGAGTCAGGAAGCCTCAGCTCAAGTTCCTCCTAGATTAATGTCTCTCAGGATCCTTTCCTCAGTATTAAATTATAGTCACAGCTTTCTCCTATCAGAGAAGGTGTGCCTCCATCCTGTCCTTACCTCACAATGGACAAGGTTCTGAAGATCTAAAATGATAAAGTTTAGATTCATGTGTCACCCAGAGGCACATGGTAGTTATGACTAGACAATCAGCACTGAGTGATAACTTCTGAAACCTTTCTACTTTGTTCAGAGAGGTCTATCTGGTGCTAGGACAAAAAGGCAAGGAAGTTGCTTAAGGCTTATAGCCAACAGGCACACTATACAAGAACCTTTGCATCTCTTCTTTGAGTTTACAAGGAGATCTGTGTCTTGATGTGGCTTGATAGGAGTTAGTAAGTGTCCTGGGGCAGATTTGCCAAGATGTAGCCTTTCAAGTGGGAAAGATATCACCCAGTAAACCCTAGAACACTAGTTCTCAATATTCCTAATGCTGCATCCCTTTAATACAGTTCTTTATATTGTAGTGGGTCCCAACCATAAACTGTCATTTTTGCTATTGTTATTAATCATAACAAATTTCTCTTAATCTGTATATCGCCACGTGGCAGTGGCTTATTGGGAGACATTTGTCATGTCTGTATCTGGCGGCTCCATGGCGGCTCCGTCTCTCTTCCTTTCTTCCTCCCAGCATTCAGTTCTTTCTTCCCTACCTACCTAAGTTCTGCCCTATCAACTAAGCCAAGGCAGTTTTTTTTATCATAAACACAAATCAGAAGGAATTCCGAGACCACAGCACCTTCCCTAGAAATACCATGAAGGCCTGAGCTCTGTGTGACTACGAGACACCACTGTTAGAAATGACATTCTACTACATGGACAGACTTTGTGGGAGCATAGTCTGTTTGGATGCTCATCTTCCTAGACCTGGATGGGCAGGGGGAGGACCTTGGACTTCCCACAGGGCAGGGAACCCTGACTGCTCTTAGGACTGGAGAGGGAGAGGGAGAGGGAGTGGGGAAGTGGGAGGGAAATGGGAGGAATGGAGGAGGTGGAAATTTTTAATAAATAAATATAAGAAAGAAAGAAAGAAAGAAAGAAAGAAAGAAAGAAAGAAAGAAAGAAAGAAAGAAAAAAGTCACAAAGATGTCCCAAGGAAGACATCACACCAGTAAAGACACAATTCATGTTCTGTCACTTTGGTGGTGGGAGTTGGCTTTTATAGTTATTCTTTATCTTGTACAGATTTAGATGAGTCAATTTTTCTTGTTGTTCATTATATTTAAAATACACGCAAAGACAGTAAAAGACATGCATGTCAATGAAAGATCACATTCTATCCAGCAATACCTCCTGCACATTCCTCCTCCACAAATCTCAAGACAACATTGCCATTGTCTTCACTAAGGTTTTTCAAGGCCTGGAATGTATGTCTCTGATTTTTTGTTTGTTTTAGAAAGACATAGAGTTACTAGAAAGAAACGGAGCTTCTTATGATAGCCAGATGTTCAATAAATATTTTTGGAGTGAAGAAATGAACTCCAGAATCCAAACAGTGAGTCATTAAACATACATTTTTACAAGGGACTTCCTTCCATGAGACAGTCAGCCCCAAATCTTTTACATCTATAAGCGCCCAAAAGCTGGGATCCATGATGACTCCATATTCAATCAAGGAGGATAATGTCCCAGGAAAAACCACAGCCTGTGCTGTCCAAGCCGTGATCTACAAAGACCTGTTTCCCAGAGCCCAGTGACTTGAGGTGGAAGTGGATGCCCTTTTTGGAGCGCAGGACCAGCTGAGGAATCTTAATGGGCAGCTTTGAGGGATCCAGAGAGAATTCAAAGCACAGCAGTTCCTGAAACAAGGAGCAAAAAGAGGCGTCAAGCTGTTGGCTACCCAGTGTTCATAGACACCTACAAAAAAGCAGTAACTATTTGTGGATTCATAATGATTGATTGATTGATTGATTGATTGATTTGTTAATGTTGGCTTAAAAGGTAAATCTTAGGAGCATGGTAAAGGGCTTCACTGAGTTTCTTCCCACTGGGAGTTCTGGCTTGTAGTCCCCCACAGAAGGGAACATCTACCCCACCCATTTCCCAGGAACAGGAAAAAATCGCAAAAGGCCCCCTCTTATCACAGCATGCTCCATAATGATGCCTCCCCAATGATGGTCATCAGTTTTTCACTCACAGTCTTGAGGGCCTGAGAATGTTGTCCCTCTCCCTACCTGGGGTCTGCAGAAAAGGGCATGTAGGAGAAAAACACAATGAGTCAAAGACCTACAAGACAGGAATTTCTTAAATACTAACCAAATCCTGGCAAAGGTAACCCAACAGCCCACACCCTGTCTGCCCTCCAAACCAAAAGATGCAGTACCTCTGGGTCAGACCACACAGCACTGTTCCTGTGGAGGGCATAGATGTGCATAGAGATCAGGCTGCCTATAAGCAGAAAAGAGGCTGATGACAAGGGGTCATGAGGCAGCCAGGCTCACCTCCACATTAGGCCTGAATCCTCTGATGTCCCCCTACCTGGGCCACTAGCCTCTGTCTGTGCACTGACAGTGACACTGAGCTGGCACTGACACTGGTCACATTCAAAGTATTTTAGCCATAACGATCAACAGCTCCAGTATCCAGGTACGAAGAACAGTGTCTAACCCAGACATCTGTGGAATGGAAACAAGAACAGTGAACCCAGGCCACCATGAAGTCATATAGGCAGCAGCTGTTTATTGTAGCCTTTTGACTGTCAACTGACTAGCTCTCAGGAAGTTATTATGCTGTTAATAATAATGAGATACCCTTCATTTAATGCCTACTACATGTCAGGTCAGGTCTGAACATTTTTATGAAGCCACAACACAGAGTGGACACGCTGTACATGTGCTGCATCGTAGTCTATGTGAATCAACTCCTGGAGTTGTCCAGGGTGCAGTCAGAGTAGGCACAAGGTGCATGAAAACCCTGATGATCGTTCTTTCTTTTTAATTCTGACAACTATGAAAATTATATTTTTCCTACACTTCTACCCTCTATTTTAAATTTATTTTATTTCAGCATATTATTACAATCTACTTGTCATTAGCACCATAATAGAATGATTCCATACTGTTTTAAACAGAAGAAAAAGAGAAAAAAAAATAGGTTACAAGAACTCCTTTCCCAAGAAGAATTCATCAACATTCACACACTGCTTTCCCTAACCCAGTCACTATACTATATGCAGATGGATGGCCATGAAAGTTCTTTCTTACCTCTGCATCCTAGCACAGAAATTGATTCAGGATAGGCACTGAGTTTTGTGGAATAGAGGAAGGAAGGGAAAAATAAGGGGGATGAATAAGAGATGGACAGAGGAAACGATGGAGGTGAAGGGAGGAAGGGAGTGAAGGAAGAAAGAAAGAAAGAAAGAAAGAAAGAAAGAAAGAAAGAAAGAAAGAAGGAAGGGAGGGAGGGAGGGAGGGAGGGAGAGAGAGAGAGAGAGAGAGAGAGAGAGAGAGAGAGAGAGAGGGAAAGAATGAAATATAAATTTTAAGTTCTGCAATGCCAAAATATTTAGGGATCGTGGAAGTCTAGAAATGTCTGCAAGCTGCCGCCATGTGACCAGGTTGTCAGCTCCCTAGTGTGACAGCCCAATCACACGTATGCTTCACATTTTACCTTTGTTGATTTTTGCCATGGGCAAGCAGTAGGTTATATTTGTTGAGCAAGGAGCTTGCCTTAAGGAGAGTCTAAAAACCTCCCTGGGACCAGCTGTCAGTTAAGGTGGGCACCATGCACTCACCCGAACACCCAGGAGAATGTCCAGGAAGTCCAGATGTCTCCGCTGCTGGATCTTTTTCTGCTCCTTCTCATCCTGCAGGGCTGCCTTCCGCTGCTTGATGACCTGATCTAGACCAAGAGCATAGGTGTCACTGCCTGCTTTGGTCCTGTGCCAGAGGAAGAACCAAGGTTTCCTGGTTGGCATAGGCAGCGAGGGGAGAGGGGGTTGAAGGAGAGGCCCACCTGTATGGTCATGGGCTATCTGGCAGGCCCGCAGGAAGCGGCGGCCATGTGGAGTGCGCCAGTAAATGAAGCCATTGTGGTACTGGAAGGATTCGATGCGCTGCTGCACCAGCAGTGTGAGCTCACTGACTGCCATATAGTAGCTGTTGTCTCTGTACAAAAGAGGGCAGAGGGAGAGGAAGAGGCCTGAGCAGATGTCTTTTAGGAATCCCTTCTAAAATACTTCCCGCACCTCTTCTTGCCTCCTTAAACCTCCTCACTAACACCCAACGTATCTTCCACCATGAGTAGGGCCTGGGTTAATTAAGGCAAGACCTCTCCAACCAGAGAGCAAGTGCCCTTCCACCTTCCTTATCTGAGAGCCTTGGGTAGAGTTGCCTCTGACCTGTATCCTAGGCCGCTGTTCCTTTGCCAAAGGGTGTCCAGCGCCATGTGGCCTACATCACAGAAGATGTCAAAGCTCTTACTTTCACTGGCCTTTTTCTCCCACTTGTGCTGCAATTCAGAGAGAGAGAGAGAGAGAGAGAGAGAGAGAGAGAGAGAGAGAGAGAGGAGGTAACGTGTGGAAGAACTGGGCTGCCTGGCCAGGGAAGCAGGTAGGCTAACTACAGATCTTCACTCCTCTCCCAACTCCTACTACTGCTTAATTTCTCAGTGGTCCCAGATTCATGCCAGGAATCATAGAGATCTCTGACTCCTGCCAACTCTTTTGGAGGTCCCAGACTCCCACACAGACCTTCAGAGGTCCTTGCTCAGCCTATTCTCTCAGAAGTTCCAGATTCACCTAGAGTTCTTTATGTCTGAATTTGTCCTATTGTGAACCTGCAATCCTTTTCTATCCTGGAGAGATTTTAAAATGGTAACCAGCTTTGTCGCAGCAGATACTGGGTGCTGGCTCCTCCTGTTTGCCTTTCAAAATGGCAGAGGTACCATTACCTGGGACCACCATGTAGGAGCCATGCTCACCACTTTAACTCTGAGAAGTGGGCAGCCCATTGTGATGTTAAGTTGAGGGCATCACCACAGTCCCTGGCATCCATCCCAGCACCCCAGGCCTGGGAGTTGCATTGGTCTGGACTCCAAATCCCAGCATGCCAGGTTCTGACCCCTCCCGGGGGGGAGGGTCGGGACCACTCCCACAGGGTTTTTAAGAGGAACCCCTGATCCCGGGTTTGACATGTGCTACTTGGTTTGCTGTCTCCACTGCCATGCTCTCGGCCACCTGAGAGTGCTGCATTTATGAAAACATGGGCATTTTAATTTGGTTTAATTTGGTCTGGTTGGATTTCTGTGTGCCAGAGGAGAGGATTTTTCTTAACAGATGGTGGTCCCACTGAGATGAACCATTTATTCCCCTCATGAGCCCAGGGCCCAGGACTGTGCTGAAAAATGTTCTTCCTGTGCATTTGCCATCTACCAGGCAAGATCAATCCGGTAAGCTCCTCTGTTAAAGTGCATGCCCAGTAGGGTTTAGAGTGGACCATCCATTTCTCAGGTTCTCCAATGAAGCCACGGGCCTGTGCCGGAAACCTGACCACCCAGAGAAAGTCAGATACTTTTGCTGAGGTGAATTTTGATTGATCCGAGACACCGTACATTCAGTTTTCACAGCTCTGCCTTTGGCTCAAGAGTTGTCTCAGCAGACACGCTGTGACACATTTGAGCCACTCAAGCATGCACGACAATGGGTTTCTTGCTATTTCAAGCTAGTCCTAAATGCCCTTTGGCTGCCTGTTAAAAAATCCTTTTGAATTGGGGCTAGAGTGCTCCAAAAAGTCTGCGAGGCTTTTTGTTTGTTTGTTTGTTTGTTTTAGATGTGTGCTCTTGTTCTCACCCTCCCCTTCTTCTCTTCTTTCTCTGTTCATTCATCACCACGTGGTTTGTCCCATGCCCATTTCCTCCTTTCTTGTCTGCTCATTCACAGACTGTGCTCTTGACCAGCCCCAACTTCCATCCCCCCCCCCTGCATGGACAGGGGCCTGGGGGCTCTCTCCATAGGCTCGGATGGCAGTCCAACAGGCCGCTCTCCAGGCTCCAGACTGCAGTACTAGCTCGGAAAGCAAGGGCCTGGGGTACACAAACAACAGCTTGGGTATGTGCTCGCACTGCTCCCCCTCCCTTCCTTGCTGCTTGCCCTTTCTCCACCAGGACTAACTGAGCCAAGAGTCTCCATCAGCTGTCTCCCTTATCTAATGTTTCATCCTATGTTTCTGTTTCCTCTTACAACGTCTAGTCAGCTGACACAGGTTTCTAAGACTGTCTCCTATTTGTTTCTCTGTCAAAATAATGTGGCCACAATATGTTTATATAAGTATATAACTGTGTTTTTGTGATGTGGATTTAAGTTTTTGTGTACATGTGTGCTTCCAGATTACAGCAGCTCTGGAAAAATACAAACACATGGGTAGCCGCGATTTTAGAGTTCTCACGTGTGCTAGCATTCTACTAGCAATGATAAACTGTAATTAGTTAAAATACACATCTAAACTTAGCTTATATGCCCAGTTTAAAATACCAGGTAATGGTACCTGGTTCTCAAGTGCCTTTTCAAATCTGAGACCATGGTAGTTTAACGACAAGAGCCTCTAACACAGAGACAGGCCAGCTTTTGCAGAACTTTTGGCTCCTCCAAGAAGATAGAAGATCTTCCGCCTTGACTCTGGGTTTGGCAAAGTCACCCACAAAAGCAAAATGTGGCTTTTGACCTCTCCAGCTTTCGAGGTGCTTCACCCGGGGAATCGATCTGCTCATCCTGCCAAGACAGGTAAACAAAATCTTCCCCACACAGAAAAAGACCTTTGGGCCTCTTACTCAGCAGCCAATGACAAGCTAAGTTGCTAAGACTGGCGGTCTCCAAGGACTAAAGAGAAGATTTGGGATTGCATGCTAGCTAAAAAGCTGTCCCTTTTTTTACTCATTTATTCCTCACAGATCTGTCTAAAGGCATTTGACAAATCAAGGCTTCATAGTCCAGAATTAAGAGATTTCAATCTTCAGACGTTCAGAGTTCCCAATTTCCTTTCAGTGCCTTCATCTTCATACCTTTTAATCTAAAGCAATAGCCTTTTGCTATGAAATCTGTTCCAGTTCTCTTACAGGTTCCTGAAATTTTTCTATTGCTACATCTGAATCAGGTCTGGTAAAATCCAGGGTTCCCAACTCCTTTAACTGTTTTACTGCTACACTAACCTCAGCCAGTTTTAAGCATATTTTACAGGTCACTCCTGCTGCCTAAGCCAAGACTTGAGTCTATGCCCCTTTTTCCAAAGAGAGCCTTAAATGTTGGAATTATCATCACCTCAACTTCCTATATACAAATATAATGTTAAGATGTTAAGTTGGGAGCATCACCTCAGTCCCTGGCATCCATCCCAGCCCACCCTGTCCTGGGAGTTGCATTGCTCTGGACTCCCCCTGGCCTGGGAGTTACTTTGGTCTAAACTCCAAATCCCAAATGCCAGGGTATTTAAGTGGGTGCCCAGAGGAGGAACACATGGTCCCAGGTTTTGCATATACTCCCCGGTTTTCTGTCTCCCCTGCCATGCTTTCAGCCACCTGAGGCTGCTACTCATATTAAAACATGGGCATTTTAATTCCGTATAATTTAGCTTGATTGAATTTCTCTGCACTGGTGTAGAGGATTTTTCTTAACACAGATAAACCCTTTTTATCTGAGTAATGGCTAAATATGCCATGCAGAGCACTGTGAGGCCTGGAAATACCTCTGTGTATGATGGCTGGAATCTGCCATGCTTCCTAGCTGTGCATTCCTAGAAGACCTGATACTATTGCCTGTCCAGGCAGGGGCACTGAGCCACGGGCATGATCTCAGCCACTTTCCTCCCAACCGCAAGCGGTCATTCAAGCACCCAGGCATACAAACCCCATTCAAGTGCTCTCTAGCCCAACCTCCTAAAAGTGTCAGAGCCTTTTGTGCTGGTGAACCAGGAAGTTGCAGCTTTGCAACTATGTGGGGTTTTTTGTTTTGTTTTGTTTCGTTTTGTTTTGTTTTCGAGACAGGGTTTCTCTGCAGCTTTTGAGCCTGTCTTGTAACTAGCTCTTGTAGACCAGGCTGATCTCGAACTCACAACTCTGAGTCCCATTGATTCAAGAAGACCTCAATTAAAGGAATCATGTCTTTGCTTGCTTCTAGAAAACAGAGCAAAAGGCTATCTTAAACTCTGCTTTGTGTGTGTGTGTGTGTGTGTGTGTCTAGAATATTTTTTTCAAGTTCTCTCAGGTTTTTACATGGATGTAGTTACCCACACTGGTGCACCAATTTGTTGTAGGAGCCACCTTCTTCGTTCCCGGCTGTCCAAACTCAAAATACCCACACAGAAACTGTATGAATTTAATCACTGCTTGGCCCATTAGCTCTACCCTCTTATTGTCTGACTCATACATCTTAATTTAACCCATTTCTATTAATCTGTGTATCACCACATGACTATTGCTTACCAGCAAAGATCCAGCAGATCGGTTCTTGGTGGCACCTTCATGGCATCTTCAGACTCCACCTTCTTTCTTCCAGAATTCAGTTTAGTTTGCTTGCCTAGGTCTATTCTCCCCTATCATAGGCCAATGCAGATTCTTTATTCATTAACCAATAAAAGCAACACATATACAGGACTTTCTACATCAATGAATCTCAAAAGTGAGTTCTCAAAAGAATAAAAATGAACTAGAAAATGTCTTTTAAGAGTATTCAACATTCTGATCAGTTAGGAAAATGTTAAATTTGAGACTTATCTAATGCCAGACAGAATGGCTAAGATCAAGAAAACAACTGACAATAAATCCTTCAAAGATGTAGAGAAAAGGGTCAAACCCTGGTAGATCAACCATGCTGTAGTGAATGGACACACACCCAGAAGTATATGGGCAGCACAAATTGAAATGGACAGGTTTGGGGAGGGGGAAGACAACAGAGAGAGGAGTATTAGGGAAGAGGGCAGAGATCTGGGGGGAACTGGGAGAGAGAATGAATATAATCAAATTACATTATATGAAATACTCAAAGATTCATTAATAATTTTAAGAGGAAAAAAACACACAAGTATAACTGAAAGTCAAGTTCAAACTCCAGAACTCTTTCATCTAGTCCCTCATTTAAGGGGTAAATAATAGGTTATGGGGCAAAACAGAGAAAAGGTCACCATCTAAGAGTCCAAGGTCAGAAGGGAAGAGCACTGTGTAGATACCAAGAGTAGTCATGAAACTGGGATAAAGTTCAGTGAGATGGAAGGGTAAATTGTTGCATTCCCCTTTGCTCTAGTTTTTGATAGAGCATGGGATTTAGGAGAGAAAGAAAGGACCTTTGACCCTGTGGGTTGGGAAACACATCCCTTACTATTGGGGAAGGCAGAGGAGAAAACATTGTAGGAGCATGTCAACATCTTCTGGAGAGGGAGTGTTGTAGTCCAGTAGGGAAGGTGACCAGAACCACCATTGACTCTTGTTGATTGATTCCTTTTTATAATATCACTTTGTCTCTGTTATCAGTTTCTCATTAATAAAATAAGGATGGGGTAAACTAATCGTACTTACTGAACATCCAATAAACTAGACTGGAGTCTTTTAAACCAAGGTTGGTGTCCCTTTTTCTTGTTATGTGCACACTCCCTACCGCCCTGCCTGGCACACAGTAAGTGCTCAGTGGAAAGTCACCAGTAAAACAGCTGACTAGATGTCTCCACCATGTTTCCCTCAATAACAAGGGCCAAAACCAAGTAAATGAAGCTCTGTTCCACTGGATGGTGCATGAAGGTAGAAACAATCATCGCACAGAGCCCGGAGACCCAAGATGTCCATGTAAAGAGGGAATTGGAGGACACAATATTTATTATTATAGTTCCAAACATGAGGTCAAACCGAAGCTTCATGCCAAAGCGAATGCATTGAGCAGTTCCTGTCCAACACTCAAGCATCTAAAACACTTGCTCTTAGAGAAGCCAGAGCCCAATTGGCAGTGTTCTCAGATAATCTCACACTATAGC